AAGAAGTTCAATGAACCCCAGGAAGGATAGATCCCAAAAGAAAATCACCAAGACATATCATAATCAAGTTCTCCAAAATCAAAGATAAGGAGACACTTCTGAAAGCAGCCAGGGAAAACAGAAGTATCACATACAAAGACAAGCAAGTCAGATTAAGCTCGGATCTCTCAGCAGAAACCAGGCAAGCAAGAAGGCAATGGGGAGACATATATAAAACCTGGAAAGAAAAAAATTGCCAACCAAGAATCCTTTATCCAGCAAAGCTACCAATCAAATATGACTGACGGTGTAATCAAAACATTCCAGGATAAACAGACGCTAAGGGATTTTGCCAAAGGCAACCCTGAGCTAAAAAAGAATTACTTTAAAACAAAGATGAGAATGTAAGGGGCCAGGAAGACTTGATTAAAAGAAATGAAACAACCAGTATGGAAATTATGAGAACATTCAAAATTTGTGAAAAGTGTAACCAATGTCACTGAACAATTTGAGTAGAAATTATTGAATGGGAATCCAAACTGCTGTGTAAACTGTTACTAAAAACACAGTATTATTTTTTTTTTATTACAGAACCATGTAAAAATAAATTGTAAACATCATAAACATTTTCCCTAAGAAATGTATCACCTATAAATAATGACAGTCCTGTTACAGCCATATGATTTTCATTCTAAGAAAATTAGCAATTATTCTCTAAGATCATACAATTTTTAGTTCATATCTAAATTTTTTCAGTTATTCTACAAAGATCTTTTACAGCTTTGTTTTGTTTGTTTATTGCAAAGCCAGGGTCCAGTTAAGATTAATTCAGTGAACTTGGTTACGATGACTCTTGAATTCTTTTAAATCTAGAACAGCTGTGTCTCATCTCAACTTTAAATTTTATAATGAAATTGACTTTCTGAAGAGAAAAGGCTAGTTTAAATATATATTATTATTAGCAATCCCTTATAGTTTTGGTCTGTTTTTTAAAGTCAATTAACCCTGACAAGAAAAGATGTAAAAATTAAGAATTTTACATTTTTTCAAAGTTAACAATTTTTAACAAAAACTGGGGAACACTAATCTAGACTGTTTGCTAGGATAATTAATCATTCCAGTTTGCTTATGACCCAGGTTGCTCCAGTGACTCTGGACTTTGAATGATATATCAGGAAAGTCTCAGGCAAATGGGGATGAGTTGCCAATGCAGCAATTGGTAACCCTTGGAGAGCACTTATTAACGCGCAAGAAACAGTTTTGTAAATGATTAAAATAATCCTTTGGTTCTATTAATTTTCATCATATCAAACAATTATTTGCACACTTACACCATTTTAACTATATTGTTTGAATTGTATAGAAAGTATACTTAGAATACAATGATTCTTTAAAAGCTTTATTTTAAAAAATAACTCATTTAACATATAACTACTTAAATACTTAAGAATTAGGACTTATTTTAAGTTTTTTTAAAATGGAAGCATATCCTTTGATAATCAAATCGCTTGTGATTTGTTCTTTGGAGACTTTATCTTAATAAGGTTCTTCTGTAGTTGTACGATGACAGAGTTTTGGTTTGTTAGGATTATTTTCCAGCAGCCAATCAGCTAACCAAGTCTATGAAAAAAAGAATTAAAAAAAAAAAAACCCCTTAAATTAATGGACATTTAAGTATTTCCTTTCAGTATATATCAACTGAAAACTTAAGTTTCAAAGTCATTTTTAAGAGTAAAAAGAAAATGACCATTAAAAATTGAAATACTAAGTTTTACATTATACAAGTTTGTTAAAGTTGACTATATATGGAGGTCGTAAGAATCAAATTAAAGCAACTGTTTATTGTCGTACTTCATTAGAACATGGAGATCCATATAACAAAATCATGCCCAGATATAGAATTTAATATGTAATAAAGGAGACTTCAAAAATCAATGTGTAACAGAAAAAATATAATTTAAATCTTCATTTTGTGTTACATACAAAAATAAATTCTATATGTATGAAAAATCTAGATGAAAACAAAAGCGAACATTTAGCAAGACTTCTGGAAGCTCACCAGCTGCTCCTCGGAAACCCTATACTGGGTTGCTATGGGTCAGAATCAACTCAAAGACACTTAACAACAAGAACAACTGGAAGGAATACGTCTTTGTAAAGTTACATAGAAACGGGAAACTGACAATTAGTGGAGGAAATCAAGGTTAGACTTATTGAATATTTTTATAAAGGTAAAACTGAAAGTTAAACAACATAAAGGAAAGTATTTTTTGCAGAAAGTAATATCAAATGTTTATGTAACTAATATATAAAGACTTCTTACAAAACCCCAATAGAAAACTGGACAAAACATAAACAAACAATTCACAAAAGAGGAAATAAGGGGAAATGTTTAACCTCAGTAATATGGTAAATATATATACCTGAAAGTTAAAACAATCAAATACCATCTTCCTTTTGCCTATTATTAAAAGCCAGCCCCCTCAAAAACAATTTAAACTTTCACCTTATATTATTATGGATGGAGTGAAATGGAATGATCATGTATTTCACAGTGTGTGATGCACATACACAGGGAACCCCCAAATCTAATACTCAAAAACAATCTTTTAACCTTGAATGAAAGCAAACCCATTGTTAAACTAAACAACAGTTTAGCCCAATTAAGAAAGAATGTTTGCCTTGAGTATAGTGTTCTATAAAGAATCTTCTACATGAGTATAAACTAATAACAGTTCATCTAAAGTACAGATGAGAACTTTAAGGGCCAGGGAGCCTAAATTAATAGTGATGAAACAATATAGACAGAATGATGATACACTGTCAACTCTATAATCAATGTTACTGAACTGTCATATAGGAATTATGAATGGATGTATGCTTGGCTGTGTATATTGCCACCAAAAAT